TATTTGTTTGAGGCCAATTGAGCATAGTAGCAGGCTTGCATCAAGATCAACATACTTTTGCTATATGTCCAATTTTATCACTAAGGTGACAGATGACTTTTTGTTGATTATTATTATTAGAAAATTAAAACTACGGATAGTTAAAGTTATTTTCTGAGTTACTTAGGTTGAAATTACCACCATGGTTAAAGAGTTAATAATATACCGGAATTGATAACTTTGTGCATTATCCAAATGTCCAAAAGTATTTTGTTTGGTCTTTTATTAAAGTTCTTATTGCTTTAATTATCTTTTTTCTTGATTTTTGATTTAATTAAGTTGTGATAATTGATCTTGTCTTCTTCTCTTCTTGTTTCAGATACATTTTATGATCAATCAATTTATTATATAGTTTTTCAAATGATATTAGTGAGTTATTTACCTGAATTGCTATCACAGTTCCTTATATTCGTCTACTAGACCATTGAGTATATGAACAATGATTTTTTTATTACTTAAAAGATGACTCATTAAAGGTAAATTATTTATAATAATTTTTAGATTTTATATATAGTCAGTAATAGTACTTTTCTTTTATGTTGTCTTCATCAAAGTAGATAAAAGACTTAGCTTGCAAGTGCGAGAGCAATTGGTAAAGGTTGTTTGTTACTTAGACCAGACTTCTTATGCGGTACAAAGAGACTAGTGGTGCGATGGAGCCAATGACTAATACTTGAATGACTTATAGAATAAGACGATATTATCGTAGCCATAACTTGCGATCAATATTTGCTATTAAGATGTGTTTTCTCGATATTTGGATCTCTTTTAGTGAACAACTAAGAGAGACATTAATGTAGCCTAATAGATCATATCCAAAGAGGAGATTATTGAATTGTGCTTGCTAAAATGCATAGTTATCATCTTTCAAGAGTTTGAAGGGATTAGAGTTGGTTTATTAATATATATGTCTTGTAGGTTAAGATGAACTATTATTTCTTGAGGAAATAATAATTGGAGCGTCAAATGCAGATGAGGAACACATGTTGAGAAGATATTGTGATCCAATTAGGAAAATCTTGAACAATTAATAATATAGTTTGGATATACAAATAGTGGAGATATAATCTATTGGAGGAGATAAGATATGAGAAATACACAAGGGAGGATCTAATCTGATGAAAGATATTAGATCTAAGAAGTGCACAAGAGAGGATCTGATCTAAGATGTGTAGGAGAGGATGATCTCTTCCTTCCTCTCTTGAGTCATTCTCTCGATCACGAGTACTGATGACATGGTTGAGAGGATGGTGGAAGGCACTGGACTATCGTTAGAGGATGGTGGAAGGCACTGGACTATCGTTGAGAGGTCAACCGTAGATTCAAGGTGTCAGTGAATTTGACGATTAACGAGAAGGGGACGAGGACGTCAATAAAGATGCTTGGTAGTAGGTAAGAGTAGAGGGAACACCTATCAAGTAGAACTACATAGCAATAGAGGATCATCAAAGAAGTCGATCGATCATTAAAGGAGGCTGATTATATTACAAAGTGAAGTAAATTTACTGCAAAGGAGTCACGCTAGGAGATTGACAGGGAGAAGTCACACGTCTTCGTTTTCAATATAATGCTAGAATCCGAAAGCGAGAAGCAAAAATCAAGAGTTGTAAGACAACAACAAAGAAGGCGAGAAAGATGAATAGCAGTCGCCAATAGGTTAGTATGGTTATGAGGAAGAGGAAGCCATGCTTGAAGCAAGAATGCTATGATACTATGAAAATTTAATTATGAAAGAGATGATTTCATTCATTGAGGTACATAGGTTGTGAGGAAAAAAAATTCTTCAATCATGTACTCAAATTATGCACTCAAATATATAATTGATACTTCAATCATAGATTGATTAAGGATTAGAATATGTAAGAAGTGTAAAGTTATCATTCCGTACTTATCTATGTCATGATCTTATATCATTTTTTTTTTATGAGTAGGTGAATATGATTTTAAAAAATCTTCCTATAACCTCATCATAGATGTCAGATTGGTTCATACCCAACACATGAAATTGGAATTGATCAGGATATACGTTTTTTTTTTCCCTAATGTGACTTGAATAAGATTTAAATATGGGATCCTTCATTTTAATACTATGATAAATTTTTTATCACTGTATCTTAAAATTCAAAGATAATAGATGATACATGATCTGATCTATATTCTAACAACACCTACTAATCAATAATTAGTTGAGAGTAACACATTAGTTAGTCAATAAGAACCATTTCAATTCATTCCCTCGTTAGTTAATCAATCTGATGAGGGACAAACTTGGCTACATACTGACTTATGTTCCATGGCTGCCCATACTCCCATACGACAACACTGGTCTGCCTAGTGGTCCATCTTCAAAATAGGCTAATTAGATTTTTATACTTCAAAAATTATATTGAAATCCTTATAATTATGAAATATTTAGTTTCAATTACAATAACGTTATTAGTTTTACTGTCGAAAATACGAAAATAATGAACAAAATAATAATCTCAATGTCCTAGTTATGTTTTTTGTGATAACAGACGACAACATCATTGGAGACCGATAGTAGTTGTTGTAGATGAGGAAGAAGACTAACGACAAGAGGTGAGGCAAAAGGATAAAAGAAAGAGAACGATACAGATGTCGACGCTTAGTATCTACGTCAGTACCACTCGACAATTGTGTTGACATTGACACAGTTGTCGAGTGACAAAAGGACCGCTCGACATTTGCATCGACGTCAATGTAGATGTTGAGCGGCCCTTTCACTACTCTGCATCTTTATCAATATCACATCGCATCTGCATCAATACTGATGCAGATGCCAAGCGACCCTTTTGTCGTTTTTCATCCGCATCAGTGTTGACATAGTTGTCGAACAGTGCCGACATAGTTATCGAGTGGTGTCGACGTAAATGTAGAATGACGAAAAAACTGCTAAGCATCTGTATCGATGCTCACATTAATGCAGAGCAGCATCGCCCTTCCTCACATCATTGACAATGCCAAAACAAATGTAGAGCGGCGGCGCAAATACAAAGTGTCAGCATCTATGTCAGCATCAATATCACATCTACATCTGCATCTATGTCAACACCAATACAATTGTTGAGCAATGGCGGCGCAAATACAAAGTGTCAGCATTTGCATCATTCTCTTCCTCCTCTCTCTTTGCCTCACCTCTCGCCACCGTTCTCCCTTCTCATCCATAACAGAAACTCGCAGCTCTCAACGATATCATCGTCCATCACAATCGAAAACATAACTAGGATGTTAAAAGTATATTTTTATCCATCGTTTTCGTACTTTAATCGATAAAACCGATGACGTTACGATAAATAAAGTTAGATGTATCACTTTCATAATTATATAAATTTTAATGTAAATTTTTTAAGTCTAAAAATCTGATCTTAATTAGTCCCCTCTAAATAAAGGTAAAAGAGATGTTTCAATTTTAACCTCAAGCAACTCACTTTCTCTCTACAGTGTTGAGCTCAAAGCTTTTTAGTCTTCATTTTAAAACCTGAGGATCCCTACGCTCATCTCATACATATCTAGTATTAAGGAGTAGAAGAATCAAAATCTTATAGACGTCACAGTCATATCTCTACCATCTCGGAGGCATCTTTTAAGTGTTAGAGTCATCTCACATCAATCGAAAAATAGAGAAACTAAGACCTTACAAGTGTTACAGTCACCTCTATCCTCAATATTATCTTTTGGGTCCTTTCAAACGAGCAAAAACTGTATGAAGTCCATCCAAAATAAATAATTCTTTGTGAGTATTTGTTGAAGACAAATGATGCTTATCATCAGTAATATAGACTCTTCGAGAGTGAAGCCAACACTCTTCGGTCTAATCAGTTCACTGGAAGCAGCCCAAAACCTAGTCAACTAAGCTCAGTATTACTTATGGTAGATGAACTTAGAATAAGATTCCTATTTCTATCATTAGAATCCTCTATTAAATCTGATCATACTTGTCTGGTTTTGGCTAAAGAACATGTCTAAATTCTCTACCAACTGATAAATACTGGGTGAACTTGTGGAATGAGGTAAGATATAAGGATTTGTGTGACTCTTTAGGCAAGGTTAACCTGATGAACTCAGTGACTCCATTGAAATCAGTGGTTAGTCATCAACACACACCACAAGTGCTGATATTTTTGGCATCACCAGTATTGTTGCTACTGAAATTAGTTTTGAGATTCTTGTGACATTAACATGACTGTAGGCAAGGGACTTCACATAGGTGATCTGGGAACTTAAATCAGTTTCTGATCTGCTACTTGTGCTTGAACATTCAACTGAGATAATTTGGAGAAACTGCAGCTGCTTCTCTCACAAGTGATTTCTGATGACTCCATCTATTTTCTCAACCATTAGTATGAGATTGGTAGTGGACTATTGACCAAGCTGCATGCAACTTTTTTGCCAATAAATGGAGATATACCAATTGTTCATCATCTTTGAGTAATGTAATTAACCAGAAGACCAAAAAAACCAATATATCATTATGCCATTAGACATCAGGTTGGTAATTTGCATAGGAAACATGTGCCCCCAATAAATATACAGTAATTTCATCTGTGTTTCAAGGTCAAGGAGAACATCTAAACTTGCACACAATGTCCTATACAAGTATTCAGTTTTGTTGATTTCTGTTGATTCTGATCTCTCAGCAAACTCAGCATTGTCTCAGTGATACCAACTATTTCAAATGCTAAGCAAGTAAAAGACAGAAATATTGGTTGAAGCATTGATTGAGTGTCGGAGATGAAAAAACAAACAACCTTTCGCAAGGAGAAATCAGATCCAGCTTTTATAGCCTTTGATTTAACCCTTTGTTTCAATAATACACCAAAGTATCCAAAAGGCTATTAACCACTTACCAAAGCTTAAAAAACTGATACTGCACCAGAACAATGAGCATAACATTTTCTGAGAACAGAGGAGGGCATGGCACCCACATGAGCATCAGAACATGACAAAAAGACAACATATAGGAGATTCTATTAATTCATTCAAAGCAAATATAACACCTGTATTAAACTCAAATTAGATGACAACACATGAGGACACCTGCTTCAAAACTAAAGGGAAAAAAAAATAAAGCAATAATGTCTCCAAAGGGACTTGTCCCACTGCAATGCAGGAATCTCTAGTAGCTTATACAGCAACCAGCAAAAGGACAATAATGGCCAAGTCATTTAGAACCTAAACCAATCAAGGCATGATCCTTCTCTTGCTGCGCTTCGACCAAATGGGATTCTTATAGTCTGTAAATTTCCTGTATAGCACAAACCAGGTCCGAAAGAGAACTTTGAATCTTAGGAGGATCCCGTTCCAAAAGAGAACTTTGAATCTTAGGAGGATCCCGTTCCAGTGGCTGTGGAAGTTGTGGATGGTTTAGCATCAGAGTGATCACCAAAGATACGTTTGTGAAAGTCGGAGACCATTAGAGGAAGACCCTGGCGGAGAGGGATCTTGGGCTCCCAGCCGAGCAGTTCCTTGGCCCTGCTGATGTCAGGCTTGCGCTTGTGAGGATCATCCTCTGTGTTGGGACGGAACTCGATTTTAGCATTGGGGTCAATGGTTTCCTGCACAACTTTAGCAAGCTCCAGCATTGTGAACTCTCCGGGGTTGCCCAGGTTGAATGGACCAATGTGTTCTCCTTCCATCAGCCTCATTAACCCCTCCACCTGTATTTTGTTGTTAAACACTAAGCAAAATTTGTAGCAGATTCTCACATATTGAATATGAGGACTCTCTGTCCCTTGGTCAAGCATGGACTACCGCTTTACCAATATCATTTTTGTTTATTTGTCCTTTTCTACCTACCTTTTGAAGAGACCACCAATGGATTCTTAAAAGACATGAAGCCTCTTGTTCAACAAGTGTCTATGTATTTATTTTTGGAACTAGAGCTAATCCCTCGGTGTGTATCGGTCGGTACTTATTGAGTATAGAATAGATATGCTTCTCTTCATCTTAAGAATAAAATTGGTCAGAATCATATTCAGGAATAGAACATTCTAGCAAGATTCATGGAATTAGAAATAATATTGCAACAAATATGTGGCAAACAACACTATGCTTTTATTAATGACCTCCAGGAATTGAAGCTTAATAAAGTATCTAAACTTTGATTGCTAGACTAACTAAAGGACCAACTGGGGTCTAAAAGGTGTGACCACTACTGGGCAAAAGGACAACAATGTGAAGCCAATGGAAAGGAGAACAATCTGTTTAGACATGGTAGGTTGATTCTGCACATGAATGTGCTGTTTTTGAATGTCCAAATAACACTTGGACCCACCCCCACCAACCACAAGAACTTGAGAAACCTAACTGGTCCATGTGGGCCTAATATGTACCAAAGCCAGAGCTATTGGTTTGTTGTATGATCACAATTTCCAACATAAAAAACAAGCATATATATGACACAAGAAAGGACACAAAAGTTGAAGTTGGTAGAGCAATAGGAAGAAGACTTACAAGGTCAGAAACATATTGGAAACTCCTTGTCTGCTTTCCATCCCCATAAACCGTCATTGGCTCCTTCCTCAAGGCCTAAATCATGTATCAAATTCAAACAGCAGTGTTGCACTCATTAATCCAATGCATATCACTTTATTTATTGAAACTAAACAGAAATCTCGAAATCTCAGCAAAGTTGTCACACACCTGAGCAACAAAGTTGCTGACAACCCGGCCATCGTCAATGCACATGCGGGGCCCATAAGTGTTGAAGATTCGAGCAATCCTCACCTGTATCAAAGGAATTTAGCATATAATAAATACCAAACGAGCCAATCAAGAAGCTAAATCTAGAGCAGAGACACATTATTATGGATTAGTTAGAAGGTGTATGACCTCGACTTGGGCACCACGGTGGTAGTCCATGGTCAGTGTCTCCGCTGTACGCTTGCCTTCATCATAGCAGCTCCTAACCCCTGTGCCCATACCAACAGCTTGTTAGATTCTTTTATAGATTTTATATGACAAAGTAAGCATCTAACTAATACACAAAAGGAAGAAAAAACAGGACACTCACCAACTCTAGATCAAATTTATTACACTTGAGATTCTATGAGAGAAAAAGCTGAAGAAATGAGAGACATGGTGATAGAGAGAGATGCATACCGATGGGATTAACATTGCCCCAGTAGGTCTCAACTTGAGGGTGCTGCAAGGGATCGCCATAGACCTCGCTGGTGCTGGTGAGGAGGAACCTGGCCCCCACTCGCTTGGCCAGGCCTAGCATGTTGAGAGTTCCCACAACGTTGGTCTTGTGCACTCCACAGAAAAAGCTCAATGAATCAAGGCTTTTAACAGGCAAAAGAAAGATTCTTGCTTTTCTTCCTTCTTATTCTATTCTAATCTTGACTGAAAGACTAAGAACAACCACAGAAACCAAATCGAACATTTTGGAACAAGAAACAAGCAACAATTTGATCTCAAAAGGCCAATATTAAGATCTGTTCAACAACTACTAACTTTCAGAAGTTCAAATTACTGAAGACCAGGTAAAAAGGGACCCTGTTTTCATCAAGTTGTAGATATGAGGAGACCACCACCAAGAATTAAAGAACCAAGATCACATAGAACAGTACTGAGCCAAAAAACAGTCCTTTTTATCAATGATCAACGGAGCAGGACAAGGCTCTAAGAATTATTTTTAGGTGATGGAAGAGATACAGGAAGCCAATTTTAGGAGATCTAATGATAAGAACACAACAGAGACAGTCTACCACCAAAGACGAACAAAATTAAAAGACCTTTAGGGAATATAAATTACAGGAATAAAAAGCAAAAAAAATGCAAACTTGAAAATTATCTATAGAATGTATACGAAAAACCAGAAACTTCAGCCAACTTGGAAAAGAGCGATTTTTAGCACTAAAAAAATTGCAGAAGAAGAGACTAATGAGAGAAGAAAGGAAAAATAGAGAGGAAAAAGGATATGATGGTCTTGACGGGGTTGAACTTGTAGTGGACGGGGGAGGCGGGGCAGGCGAGGTGGTAGATCTGGTCGACTTCGAGAAGCAGGGGCTCGACGACGTCATGGCGGATAAGCTCGAAGTTGGGGTTCCCGAAGTGGTGCATCACGTTCTCCTTCCGCCCCGTGAAGAAGTTGTCCACCACGATCACGCTGTCACCCCTGGCGATCAGCCGGTCCACCAGGTGGCTGCCCACGAACCCGGCCCCGCCCGTCACCACGATGCGGAGCCCTTTCCGCTTGATCCCTAGCGGCACCTTCCCCCCGACGAATCCCCTCGCCGCCGCCTCGAACGCCGCCCTATGGTGGTGCTGTTGTTGCTGGCGGTCCATCGCCGACCGGAGGGCGAGTTCGGACGCCACGGCGGAGGAGTAGGAGTAGGAGTTGGTGGAGGAAGATGAGGGAGCGAGGGCGAAGAGGAGGGAGGCGAGGGCCATGCCGACGAGCACGAATACAAGGCGCTGCTCCCGCAGAAGGTAGCGAAGCGGGCGCCAGAGCCAGAGGAGGTGTTTCTCCGGCTTCGGGGTGTACCCGCTGCCGCTCTCCGGCGGGTGGGCGTCGTGGCCGCCGCGGTAGATGAGCTCGGAGGCCATCGTCGATAGCACGGGGATCTGGTTGCGAAGGTAGCAAGGGGGCCTTCCACTTTGAAGAGTCGTCGGATGGGGGGGGGACGGGGGGGCGTCTTGTAGAGAGGGAAACAAAGAGCCAAGGGCCTGCGCGTAATTTCGCCTCGCTCCCCGCCTTCCCAAGGGTACAGATCGAATGCGTGCCAGGTGGACGGCGAGGATGCGCGCGGCCCCTCCACGTTCTGCTTGGGCCCACGCAGGACGTGCTTCCGAGGGCTTGGCTACCTCGCAAGCGACAAACTGGTGGGCCCCGCCGTTTGACTCGGCTACGGAAGGGTGGGTGGGGGAAGGGGGCGGCCGTCGGTTGGCTGCTGAGCCTGGCGCCATGTGCCGCGCAGGACTTATCCCGGGGGGGGCGGTACACGCTCCTCGCGGTTGGTAGATCGGTGGGGACGGGGCGTCGGGGGTGGCCTTTTCGGAGACGTTACTCAACCGAAGGTGACTTGGCCCGCACCACCGCATCGGCCCGTGGAAAGCACGTGGACTTTCAAGACGACTCGGTCCGAGTTAGGCGACGCAACAAGAAATCGTCCGCATCGGACCAAACCGAGGTCCCCCATCCAACTGCTGCCCAAATTAGGCGACCCAAACAAATTTGGAGCTCCCAAAACACACGAAGAAGACGACGCAATCAACTTCAATTATAGAGTAACAACTATTTTATCCCCAAAAATGTCATATGGTTTTTGTTTTGCCCCCCATACAATTGATCGCAATTTCTACTTGTTTTTTATTATATTCTTTTTAACGTGACAAGCGATCGTAGTTTCAGCACAATAATAAGATTGTTCTCTTATGACGTAAAAAATTATAATTTTTATCTATATAGAGATAAGGCGGTATATATTAATATTTTTTAAACTATTATTTTTCTTTCTAAATTACTGTTATATAGAGATGAAATTTTTGTGTTCTATTCGGAGTTTATTTCATGACTCAAGAAAATATCTTGCACCTATCAAAATCAATGGAATCAAGAGCCAAAGATCCTAATTAGGTGGAGTGTCTTCATCAACCTAGTAATTGTGAGTAGGCATTTCTAAAAGTCAAAAGGAGATGCATGATGTCTTCGTCGAGAGTTGTTTGGAGATTGTTGCCGTTTCAAGAGCTTTTAGAATCTGTATGCGATTCATCATCAATATCAACCCAAAGTTCTTCCTTTGATGCTAATTATGTTCTATTGGGTTTGCCTTTGTCAATCAAAGATTTGGTCCAAAAATGAAAGGAGGAGGAGGAATCTATTAGTGTTATGGTTATTTTCCTAGTCTAAGAGTTAGGTAATTAGTTCTTGTCACATACTTTCTTGATGATAAAATGAAGTTGACTGATTCCATGGCTCCAATGACATCAAAATGCTATGCATTGTATTGATGGATACATGTAACTAAAACCTTAGTAAACATTGAAACAAGTCGAGCACCTTCAAATCACTCATCAACAAGAGATTTAAGTTATCAGAAATTAAGTCAGTCATACTTTTCATTTGAGAAGGTTCGGTTTGTGGATCTATCATGAAAGAATCTCGAGGACAGAGGTGTTCTTCATGTATCAAATCTTCTAGGGCAAACACAAAAATATGTTTCTACTTTTGGGTACTTTTTCTCTATATGAAAAATAAAGGTCTCCTAAGGGGTATGTTTGTGTTGTTCCCAATAAGAAATAAATTCATGTTAGTTTGATTAATAAATTTAGAAAGAAAGAATCTAAAGAGAGTTTTATCCCTTGGAAGTTCCTATTTATAAAGAAATAAATTTAATTATGAGATGATTGGCTAATTTCTATATGATAGGAGATTGTGAGGTCCTAAGTCGATGATGAGATTGTTGGATGTCGATGTGACACTGATTTGAGAGTTGACTTTGCTCCAATGATATATATATATATGTATATATATATTCTTCCCATTTATCATTTGGAAAGATGTTTTTAATTGAAAAGCATATCATATTACATATCTAATTTATGATTATTAGGTTTCAAAAAATTTCTTTTGATCCTTATATAAAAAGAATTAGACTAAATAATTCTTAGCATATGATAAAAATAATTACTTCATGGATTATTAGCAATGCATAAAAAATAATTACACTTTTCTATTCAAACTTTGACTAGTAGTCTTTTTATTTTGATTGCAAACTTGGTGTTGATGTTGTAAGAGGAATACTTGTAGGAAAAGAAAAGGATGGGATATTCTCTTTTGTTCATCAATTTATCATTACTGAATTATGACATTTCAAAGAACAATGGAGATTTATCCAAAAACAAAGGCAAACATTGTTCTCATAATTGTCTATTTTGGTAGGTCTAATCAACAAAATATAGACAAAGGAAAGAAAATGATGGGTTACCAAAATGGAGCACACTCATTTGGTAAATCTTGATGATTCACCCAAATTATAAAAAGAAAAAAAAATATTAGTTTTACATAGTTTATAAGGTTGCACCATAACATTCTGATCCAATCAAGTGACATGATGGTAGTGTTGCCAATCAACCATGCATGATTAATTATTTATTTAGATAGCACAACAACTCTTTCAAGGAACATTTGGTCCCAATGGCATTCACAATCATGATTAAATCCCATGTGATACAGAGACTATTTTGCCTCAATAAGACAAAAGGAAGCTTGAATCCCAAGCCATGATATGATATGATGATCAATGGTTGTGACACATCAAATACCCCACCTTTTGCCTGCAAAGTCAAAATCATTTAGACACACACTGCTGCTTCACCATCCAATGGGTTGCATGTCACTCAGCCAACTTCCCCACATTTAAATATTTGCTCAGCAACTTGAAAATGACCATTCTTGATTGAGTCAAACAAATAAACACTAAAAAAAAAAGATTTATTGGCACACCGATTTCTAATGCAACAGTGTTAGTTAAGATGTTTGTGTTGGATAGGCCACAGCCAACGTTTACTACTAATATTTGATAGGCAAAAGCATTGCCTGCTGCCTTTGTCCTCTCACACATTGTGATGGACTTTGAAAGGTGCTCTTGAACTGCATCTCCATTTGAGCATTTACCCATATCTTCATTTCTTATTGCATTAAGATCAGTTATATAAATTACAGTGTCAGAGCCAGCTTAGAATCTCGAGGCCAAATCTCAGTAGTTGTCGCCATTGTCCTTTCTAATTAAGGGTACGTTGACTTTGTTAGATTAATCCATAAGACATTCCTTTTTTGAGCATCTCGTATATTACATTGCTCTGTACAATCCTATACGATTTAAGGGCCTTCATCGTCAGGGTAAACTTTCTTTCAAATCTAATGACTTTCGATCTTACATATTGGCATGCAAATAATAATTATCATTATCGACACAAAAGTTTATCAAAACATATAAAAATACTCAATTTTCTTATGCATAAAAAGACTTTTTTTTTCTAAATAAGAAGAAAAACTAGATTATCTCAGTTGTTTAACTAATGCTCTGTCTAAACGTAGCTAACCAATGAGCATAATAGTTAGCTTCCCTGTCTAAACGTATACAGGAATCACTTCTGTATCTATATGTATACAGGAATCCTACCAGCATGGAACTTGTCAAAACAATAAAAAAGATGTCGAATATAGCTGATAAAAGATCTTGAACAGTGTCTAACCGCTTAAACTTGTTTTGCCTGTTCCGAATCCCTGAAAACATATTCAGAAGTGCCAGGACATTCTGAAGAATATCTGAAAACCATCTTAGCCGTAATTAGTATCTGCGGAATTCTTTTGGTGGCTTGAAGTTTAGCGGATGGGTTTCCGGAGTCGCACTTGGATCTTCTTTCCACATCTTGATAGTTTTGTCTGCTTCACAAGTAACAAGTCTTGAGCCGCTTATATCATACGAAAGAGCATAGATGCATGCTTCGCTGTCCAGGGACCCTGAAAAAAAATTGTATAAAATTACAAAAAGGAATTCGGGAAAATCAACATACCGTCAGGCATAGCCAGAGAGATAAACAAGGATACACAAATGAAAGTACTGGATAACACTAACCAGGCTGGACAATTGTCTGGGCTTGCTGGAAGTTGTACCCGCTCTTCCAATCCCAAAACCAAAGGCTTCCATTGTCACCTTCACAAAACTTGCACATTGTCACTCCCAATAATTGGCTACATGAGGATTTTTCGACCATGTAGAAGCAGAATATTATGATGCACAACTAATGTAAATATGAAACATTATGCTCTCCGATGGCATGCGATCACTGATACCACAAGTTGGTTTACAACATACCAGCAGTGGCCAATACACCATCTTCGTTAACTGCCATTGAGTTTATTATTGTTTTCTGCTGCAACCTGGACAACAAAATATCACAAGAAGCATTTCAGAGTCTGTTTCACAATATTATTATTGACAATTTTACAAAGAGTGAAATCTACGCAAACAATCCACAATTACAATTGCAAGACAAACTGAACTACTCATATCAAGCCACAAATTGCCCTCGATCATTCTGTGATGAAAATACGGGAGTAGTGAATAATCCACAAGCTCTGAAGCAAATTCATAATACTGCGACTGTCAGTTGGAACTTGCAATTCTCCAATAACTAACATCAAGCCAATTAAAAATCATGTGTTAGCTTATAATCTGGTTATTCATTCGACCACCAGATTGTCTTCCTCCCCCATGTCCTTTGAAATGTAAGTTCAATGAATGCTCATGTGATTCTAAAGGATTATCAGAACCATTGTCCATGATAAAGTGAAATATGTCGAACTAAGGACAATGAAGAAAACAACACTATAACTCCACTACTCCACAACGATTCACTGAGTACTCACAAACTTACTCAGTAGACTTAGATACAAAATACACAATCTACCATATTTACCAATTGAAAACTGCAACCTCAAAACATAATGCAATTTTCAAGGGTATGCATCACCAGTAAGATGATCAATCATATCTACTAAGGACGAAAAACCCTATGAATTCAACTTTATCCATAGGAACAATTCATATGCTTTCAAATCTTTGAAACAATTCTATTATGATCAAGCTGTCTACTTCA